GAAACACACAGTTTACATGTAGTCAGAATTTAAACTTAATGGTTGATAAACTATACAACTTAAAAAAAAAAAATACTGTTTAGTTTACTGTTTATTGCAGCTAGTCATATTCCATCTCTCATCTTTAGATAATTGTTTCGCCAGTAAAAGAAATAATCAGAGAAGGTACTATTCATACTAGTTGTGGACTGCCCAAATGTCATAAATTCAGTTGGTGGAACAAGTCCACAAACTGTGAAGACAGTGCCTTATGTTTTGTAGATATAATGAGGAATAGTGGAATACTCAAGTGTGGATATATCCTGACAAAAATTATTTATGAATAGGCAAAAGTCAGCAGGTTTTGTAGTTATAGATCTGATCCCTCAACACTATGCTTTGAGATAGAGGCTGCTTAGGATATGAGTTGGATAATACAGAAACATGTAGTTAAGGGCCAATTTACACCACAGAATCACAGTCCAGATGTGTTTTGGATGTGTTTCTGTATGCACTTTTTTATGTGCTTTTGGCAATTTTTTTATGCGTTCTGGTGCATTTTTAATTCATTTGTCATGCATTCCGATTAATTTTTTCCCCTCTTTTTCTTCAACTTAAATAAGGACATGTGTTTTTCAGTGCATTTTTGGTGCATTCCGGTGTATTTTGTAATGTACAGCGCTGAGTGAACTATTGGCGCTTTATAAATACTGTATAATAATAATATAATCATTTTGATGCATTTTACTGCGTACCAGTACAATTCAGCACAGAAAATATGCAGCATGTTCTACTTTTTTTGTGGCACTGGAAGGCACTGGAACTGACTGCACTGATGAACTATGCCATTGGAAACGCTGTAACCTACTATCAATGCATGTTTATGCAGAAGAAAAAAAATGCACTGGACTGCTTGCCAGTCCATCTATGGACCAGACTCTAAATCCCAGAAGATGCCAGGCCTTATTTAAAGATGATGCCAAATATTGTGGAGCAGTGGAAATGAGAAGAGATCAGTCTTAGGCAGGGGGCAGGTTCATTTTTATTTGATATGATTCAGTTTAAATTGATTGATGATGTACTGTATATAAGGCAATCTCATGCTTTCCTTCATGTTATAACCTGTAATTGGATTAGATGCTGAGGAATACTTCCACTTCTTTCCTTCATTAGTTCAGGATGTTTATTAGAATTTTAACAATTTTATAGATAAAAGGACAGTACTATTAGTTGCTCAGCTGTGAAAAGGCCTCATATATAGAATTACATTGCATAGAGCGAGTATAGCATTATATTAAAACAATTAATTATTAAGTTTGGTTAAAGGTGGCTGCAGAATGTATCCAAATTAACTCATGAGATGGTTGTGGGCAAGTTGAAGTAGAGGTCGGGGACAGAGTAGATAGGTATGAAGGAAGTAAAAAGACGTATAGGTATCTGTGGCCAAAGCGATCACTATGGTTTGCCAAGCCCTGTTAAGGAGGACTAACTATTATATCATGGATGTAAGAGATAATTGTTGAAATCTGGGGGTAGGGTTTTGCTGTATCCAGGGAGACCACATCTTCCCAATCAGAGCCATTCTATCATTGAGTATTGCTGTAATGCTATAATTATCATCCATGAAACTCTGGATTTGAACTTTTTGCGTTTACAGTTGCTGTTTTCTGTGCTTTAGTGAAGGAAGGAATGCTTCCATTGGGTCTTTGTTAAAACATTGATGAAACAACATATTCAGCATTTGATATGTGTGGGACCATAAGAATCAAACAACCGGGCAGAACGCAAAGTATGGTGAAAGTTGCCTATTTTGCTGCATCCCTGGAAACACTGTGCAGAGCAATCTGGGTTATATATAGCTATGCAGGATAGTACTAAGTACTAAATATAAAGTAGTTTGTAATCTGATTTGAGAGCTTTTACATTAGTAGAATTAGATGTTGCTGTTTGCCAACTTTTGCCTTATTCTTACACTTTCAGATGTGATCCAAATTCCTCCTCCTCCTACTTGGTAGCATAGATGGTAAGGGTGGTAGAACAGTTGTCAAAAAGGGAAGACTAAGAAGAGAAACCATGCATCTGGAATGATGGTCATTAGGCATTTGAATTTGAAGCTGTAAGTGAGGAACAAGTGTCTCATTCAAACACCTGAACTTGTAGTCAAGAGATGTCAGGGCATACCAGATCTTGAAGCTCTGTAGATTCTCATAGCCCAGCGTTAAAAAAATTAAAAGAAAAGCATAGACTTCTGAGGTAGGCGAAGAGAAATAATGGTATATTTAATATTGTCCCATAGTTTAAGATAGGGGAGAAAAAGGCACCGGTGTATTTGTTATTGCCCTAGACCTTAAGAGAGTGAGTCGTAACAGGGGTAGAAATGTTTTTTTCTATCCCCTCTCAGAGGGGTTTAGTTACTAGAATGATATTGGTTGAGAAACGTCTGTTAATATTTAGTGATAAGTGGCACTTCAAGGCCACCAGAGAGTTTTGGTAAGTACATGGTTTTATTGAGGAGTTTGAGTTCCAGTAATTCCAGATAAATGTACTAATTTCCCATTGTATTATCCAAAGGGCATAGGAAGATACTGGGATTGGGAGAATTCAAAGAGTATAATAGCTTGGGAAAGAGTGTCATTGTAACGGCTGCTATACAACTGTTCTATAACATATTATAGGGATTCCTAATTGTGAGCAGTTATTCTGATTTCTTTTGAAACGCAGGATAGTTGACTGAATGTAAGGAGTCTTAAGAGGACATGACATTTACCTCCAAATAGGCAGGTTTGGAAGGCTCCCAATGAAAATTAAAGGATTATTGTAAATATGAGTACTTTGGATTTGCTTCTACTTATTTCAAGTTCAAAAATGTGTCCAAAATATCAGAGGGTTTTGAAGTAATTAGGCAAAGTGGCTATTAGCTTGATGATAAGAAGCAGAGCGTCATCTGAAAATAGGCTATGTTTGTAACATTTGTTTTGAGTGCCTGCTATCTCCAGTCTTTGAATGTTTGTGTTATTGGTAATGATATGAGCTATAGGGTTAACAGCTATGGTAAACAAAAAGGATGGTGGCTCAGCTTGTCTTGTAGGCAAAAAAAACAAAAACAATTTGAAATTTATAAATGAGATATCCAGTAATAAGTCTGGTAGATAATATTTTGATTAGAGTTTCATATCCAGAATAAGATGCTAGATGGTGTCAGGAATGGACTGGCCAGCAATAGTGGGACTCACCTGCCTTATGAGCTGCAGTACCAGGGCTGGCCAGCGGGTGCTCCCAGCAATCAGAGACTCAACCTTGCAGCCAGTCAAACACCTGGAACTAATTATACTGGTGTATTTAAGGGACATTCAGACCTGCAGACTCTGCCTTGGTGTTGTGTTTTTCCTGGGCCCTGTATCCTGTTCCTGCTCCCTGTTCCTGTCTGATTCTCTGCTGACCCTGCTCTGATCCCTGGCTTGTCTGACCATTCTCCTGCTCCTGATCCCTGGCTTGTCTGACCATTCTCCTCTGCCTGACCCTCTGTACCACGCTGCCCGCTACCTGCTGAACCTGGCCTGTGACCCCGACCATTCTCCGCTTGCTCCCCCTGTACCTACCTGCCCGATTGATATTGACCCGGCCTGCCCTGACGACGCTTGCATTGTATGTACTGTTATCTGTGGGTGGTTGGTTTGGTTTGTTTGCACTGTGTTATGTTTTAGTATTGCACTGCGTTTATGTTTGTATTGTTAGTGTTAATAAATTACATTGTTTATAACATATCTAAAGTCTGCGTTTCCCTGCGTCAGTCACACACCTCTGGTCATACCCGGGAGCCCTGACAGATGGGTAGAAGGAAAGAGAAGAGATGGAATAAAGTCAGATAAAAAGAAAATGATAAACAAAATGTTCAAAGAAAACAACATTTTAATGATCATGTCCTAATGGGTCTGAAACAGCAAGAGGATGTACCGGGCAGGCAGTAAGGAGGGAAGGAGAGTGAAGGAGGAGGAAAGATCTAGGAAGAGGGAGGGTAGTGAGTAAGGCATTAAAAAATAGAAGGAATGAGGAAGGGGAGGTGAAAATATGGGAATCAGGCAAGGGAGAGAAGAGATGTTAAAAGCAGGGGGAAGAGGAAGGGGAGCCAACAGGGTAGAAAAATAAGGCAGGGTTAAAGATGGTTGTAAAGAGCAAGTGTATTGAAGGAGGAAGGGCAGGAGACCAATATAATGAATCAGTTGCCATATAGGGGCTCCAGCAGATGGTGTATTGGTTTGAGGATGCATGTTGACAGGAGAGACCCTAAAGAGTGTATATCCAGGTGATGAAGTGTAAAGCTTGGGGATCTTATTTTTAGGCCTAGAACTGATTGAAGATACACTCAAAATTTTAGGTCTGGGTCTGGAAACACCTGGGATCAGTAAGGGTGAAATCCTCTTGACCTACAGGCATTTCAGGTATAGTGGGATGGGCTGGATCCTATGTGAAGAGTTTCTTTACACCCATGATATGATATGTTAAGTACAGATAAGATATGTTAAGTACAGAATTACGAATAGTGAAAATAGTAAAAGATTGCAGGTTCCAAGGGTATGGGCTACTTGCTAAAGTTCCTTGGATATAGGGTATAACAACTTGACGATAATGACTCTTGGGGGTCCCATTGCTGAGCATTAGGTGAGGGTTCTATGCACAAAGTTGCTTTTCAGCTAGGAGATGCAGATTCCATCTTTGCTTTAGCTGTTGCACACAGCAAGACCTCATCAATTAGCTTTGGTTTTTGCTAATTTGGATGGCTTACAAATTGTAGTATGGTAACCACAGATTACCCAAGGTGAAAACACTGTACTAGCAGCCTGGGTGTCAGAGCTTGGGTCTTCTACGGTGAGAGGCAATGTTTCTTCTTTGCTGAGCCACTAGGAATGCTGGATAGTTCCCCTGACAATTATTTGAATGATCCTTCCTTGACCTTGTTTGTCATGAACCTTGAAGCCTTTGCTCCTCCCATGAATTTCCAGATATAAGCTATGTCTCTGTACTTCCTGTTTGCCAGATTATTGTGCTCTCTCCAGCCAGTATCTCGCTCCTTGCCTTCTCTGCTGTCATCCATATTTTGCTACCACTCGTTATTGACCCTTGGCTTGTTCTCAACTATGCTTCTGCCTGATCCCAACCTGCGACTGCTCATTACCGACCTTTGGCTTGTTTACTGACTATGCTTCTGTTTGATCCTTACCTGCTTATTATGCTACTGGACCTTCGCATGCTCACCTCCTGGTGGGTGATCCTGAGGACCGTGACCTGGTGCTAACATACAGCAAAATCTATCTCCACCATCAGGAGTTCTGGTGAACCCCGGTTAGTACTTAGACTCCACACCTCAGGTGAGCCAGCTCCTACGCCACGGTGACCTACCTGTGTACCTATTCTGCTGGGTTCGGTGTGAGCCTTTCCACTGCTATAGCAACTGGTCTTCGAGCCTGACCCCTGATCCTGACACTGGGTGTTGTAGATGAATGAACAAGCTTAATCTGATATATTTAGCGATCCTGCTCCTGGTGGGTCTGGAGCTACCCTAAGACGTGTGTGTCATCAGCAGCTGCGCGCATGTGCACGCCAGTCATTTTAACTTGTATTTTATGTATCTATAGTTTTTATAGTTTTGCATTTATTCTGTTTTCCAGTATTCTCATTTCAGCTTTACAACTAGTTAAACTTTCTTGTGTTTTATCACACTGCAAACCCCAAAAGGCTTAGAATTGTTCAGCTGGGCTGTATAAACCACAGAACTATAAATAAGAATCATTAAATGATTATTTGTTGCATTTATAAGTTATCTTAAAGATAGTAAACATTGTTTACAGATTGAATCAGCTTTTCATTTTCCCCTGAAATCTTGCTTATGAGAAAAAGCAAAGAAACACATTTTGTTTAAGACATCTATGCCCTGGTAAACCAAATAGGTCATAAAATGTTGCTTTAACAGCTGAACACAGAAACAAGTAATGTTAAGAAAAACAGTGCACAGCATGGATATTCTACCTTCTACTGCAAAAAGCAAATATTTGAATATATTTTTTTTTTTGCAATGGAGCTTGCAAAGCATTGCGACCATAATCAGTGCATGGTGGGTGCAATTCCCTGGCTCCTGTTGACTCTTCTTGCAACTCAGATCCTTAACGAGGTAAAGACCGTCAGAGGGCTGGAGGAAGTAACAATGAACTGTAAGTGCTGTAACGTCACTGCACTTTTGCTCTATTAAGGAGGACAGTCTCTCTACTGCAGTGGCAAATAGAACATGTATTATTTTCCCTTATCTTAGAGCTCTGTAAATGAATGATGTGGCTGTGTGGAAGAAGCCCCACACAACCAAGACAAAGTGCAAACCTGACCAAAGCCAGCAGAGAGAAAAAAAAAACAGATTCTGTAATTGGGGGATGGTTTAGAAGCAGAACACCTTCCTGATTGATTCTCTAAACTCCAAATTTTACCCGACCTTTCCAAACATACTCTGCAAATGCATGGTAACCTTCTCACCATCACTAAAGCCCTGAAGAACCACAAGAATATGCATCATTGGAAATATCCTGCTAAGCTCACCATAACACTCAATGGAGTAATGAAAACCATTCCTAAACTGGAAGAAGGCTTACAGCTTTCTCCACAGCACTGTCCTGCTCTGCATAACCCTCATCAACTTTCTCTAGATTGGCAAAGGTCCAACAATGGAAATCTCCACAACATTACCCTCTCCAGGAAACCTAAACAACATTCAAAACTCCCACACTTCTCCGAATGACCGGCTATCTGAGTGTTTCCCAGCTTGCTCAACCTCCGGCTTATAAAAGCAGTAAGTTCTGCCACAGTCCGCCTTGTGACATTTTTCTTTACCATAGCTTATCCTTGTTTCTCTACACTGAGACTTGTTCAAGTTTAAAAGTTTAACCTCATTCTTCTATAGTCTATTAGTCCTGAGTCAATAGGGCTCAGGCATTTCCTCTTTTTCAATATAAATTCGTATGTGTATGTACAGTCAGGTCCAAAAATATTGGGACATTGACACAATTCTAACATTTTTGGCTCTATACACCACCACAATGGATTTGAAATGAAACGAACAAGATGTGCTTTAACTGCAGACTGTCAGCTTTAATTTGAGGGTATTTACAAATCAGGTGAACGGTGCAGGAATTACAACAGTTTGCATATTTGCCTCCCACTTGTTATGAAAATACCCTCAAATTAAAGCTGACAGTCTGCAGTTAAAGCACATCTTGTTTATTTCATTTCAAATCCATTGTGGTGGTGTATAGAGCCAAAAATGTTAGAATTGTGTCGATGTCCCAATATTTATGGACCTGACTGTATATGAAGATACATATACTGTGTGTGTGTGTGTGTATATGTATATATATATATATATATATATATATCATCATATATATCATCTTCCTCATTTCATATCTACAACCAGCCTTGCATCATAGACAATGTTTGAAAGTGACTTTACCACTGTTCATGACACATGGGCTACCTTTTGTGGCAACTAGCACTCTACCTTCTCCTGCCCATACTGTGGGGCAACAGGTGATGCATTATACTATCTGCTTATATAACCACTATGGGTTTTAAAATCTTGTCTTTAAATGCCTGCAGGCTGAATCATCCTGCTAAATGTTTTTCCCTATGGCGCAAAGCACGTAATACCCATGCTGATATTATCTGTGCTCAGGAGACACACTTTCTTCTGAATGCTACTCCAAAATGCTTGCACAGGGATTTCCCTCATATCTACTTAGCACGAGCTTCCCTAGAAAAAAAAAGGGGAGTGCTTCTCGCCATCAAAAGTTCTATGGCCTTTAATCTAAAGAATCAATATCTGACCCCGAGGGTTGATATATAATCTTATTATGTGATGTGAACAGCTGTCCTTACACTTTAGTTTTAGTGTGTACCCCAAATTCCCACCAACTACGCTTTTGTGCAAGTTAATGTACAAAATAAACAAAATTAAATATGGTAACCTCATCCTATGTGGAGACTTCAATACAATGGTAATCCCTTAAACTGATACCACATCCCCTGCACAGCACCGTTTGCCTTCTCTACAACTGCTGCTGCACCAGGAGGATTTATTTGATGTCTGGTGCTGTCTACATGACAGTGAAAAAGACTACACAGACTTCTCAGCTAAACACAACACATATTCTAGAATTGATATGTTCCTAGCTAACAAATGGCTTTTGCAAAGGATAACCTCAGCTACAATATCTGACATCACATGTCCATAACTATTGGCATAGCAGAGGGGGAAGCTTACAACGGATCTAGAGTGTGGCGCTGTAACACAAAACTTCTACAGGAACCCTGAAACATACATGTTCTCTCTCAACATTTGCAGGAATTTTTCCATGTCAATACTTCCTCTTGAGTAGTTCCATTCTCTATATGGACTACCCATAAGGCATACATTTGAGGGATTCTCATTTAACTGGGAGCTAGGACGAAAAAAGCATATACCTACTCTTTGATAATATTCTAACTGATACCAGATATTTTGGATTTTGTGTGAGTCCCCCTTTGTCTGTATGAGTTTGGGACATTGCACTTAAATACACAATCTATTTGGATGGAAGGTTAATTTGTTTAAAATGACTACTACACCACCAACCCTTGTTTAGGTTTTGTTTTAATTTGATGCATTTAGTCTCTCAGCTAGGCTATTTTAAATGGTTTTAGACTTGTGGGTCTACAGAGTGAATAAACTGTACATTTTAGTTTTATTTATTTATTTTGTTTTTGGTATTTACCTAATAAAATAGTATTTTTGTATTTTTCAATAACCTTGGGATACTATGTACATTCACTGGCCACTTTATTAGGTACATCTGTTCAATTGTTTGGTAACACAAGTTGCTAATCAGCCAATCACATGGCAGCAACTCAATGCATTTAGGCACCTAGACATGTTGAAGACAACTTTCTGAAGTTCAAACTGAGAATCAGAATGGGTAAGAAAGGGGATTTAAGTGATTTGAATGTGGCATGGTTGTTGGTGCCAGACGAGCTGGTCTGAGTATTACAAAAACTATTGATCTCCTGGGATTTTAGTGCACAACCATATCTAGGGTTTACAGAGAATGGTCAGAAAAATATCCAGTGAGTGGCACTTGTGTGGACGAACATGCCTTGTTGATGTCAGAGGAGAATGGGCAGACAGTTTGAGATGATAGAAAGGCAACAGTAACCCATGTCAATATGGGCACCTTGTTGAATCTATGCTACTAAGAATTAAGGCAGTTCTGAAGGCAAAAAGAAGTCCAACCCGCTACTAGCAAGGAGTACCTGATAAAGTGGGCGGTGAGTGTATGTTTTTCGTTTTTGGTCTTATTCTGTTGTGTGTATATATATATTTACAGTATAAGCTTTTACACCAATGGTTCCATATTCAAGACTATAGATTGAAAGGTCTTTATACACAACAGGAGACTATTTTTTAGCTGTGCACTGCTTTGGGTGCACAGTAAGTGGTACCTTCCAATTATTTCCCATTTTAAGAAACCTGCTGGAAGGTAACATGTTTTTATATTAGAAATGTATGTATTTTTACTGCCTGGTTAACAAAGAGTCATTTGGCCTGTTGGGTGTCCTCTTGGAATGTCAGTGAAACAAGAATTTACAACAGGGCATGAGTAACAAAAGGTTGCATACCAAAATCCTGGTCCTGAAAGTTCACACATACCCACTAGCGATGGGGCATGGAGATAAGAAATCCTCAGCCCAGATTTCCTGGTGATGTGAAGATTAAAATTACTGATTGCATGGCCTCTAGCAAGAGGGAAGGAGCTAGATGTGGACTGAAATGTTAACCTTGGTCAAAGCATTTTTGATTGTAGGGTGCCACTACCCACCAGTGGAAGCCAGCAACATACTTCCTGGAGGATGGTTGGGGTAATACCATGCTTCCTAGTAATTAGGGAGGACAGCCCCTTACAAGTTATGGATTGTTGTTCATTAGATGGAGGACTACACAGGGTGGGCAGAGGGGGTTGTGTGGGTTGTGTCTGTGAGTGCTTTAAAATGCAAGGCCCAGCCATGCTTACGGTCTCTTTTTTATCCTGAGCCAGCCAGATACTGAACTTAGAGGATGAACTTTTGTAACATATCACATTTGCTCTTGTATTTCTATGTACTCTAAAATATTCGTTTAGATTTCTCTGTTAGTGTTTTACTTTCTTTGTAAATAAATAAGAACTTTGCTTCTTTGAGCATTGTGTTTATTATTATAGCTAATATTGTAATACAGTACCACCATTAATCATTTCAGAGCTTAGATATAATAGCTAATTATAGGGACCAACAAGATAGTACATATTTTTAAGATAAGTAAGGGGAGATCCAAAAACCACCCCTTATTTATTTCATTTGGCACCCCAGGTGGGAATCAAACCCTGATCCCAGATTTCCCCTGGGTTTCCTAGAAGTGGGTGGTCTAGGG